GCTCCCCGTCACCTCCTCGCTGAGTTTGTCCCCCTCCTCCTTCCTCCCGTTGACGCGGGCGACCTTGCGGAGCCCCTTGAGGGCCAGGTCCGGTCGCCCCGAAATCACTTGCCAGCGGGCCGACTCGACGAACAGCCTACGGGGGGGGGGGTCAGTGGGGATCCAGCCCTCCCGGGGGATCCCCGCACCTCCCACCGCCCACGGAGGACCAAGGGCTCCACGCCACCACCCCCCAATCCGTGGGGGTGCCCCGTACCAGGAGTAGAGGAAGAAGAGGAAGAAGGGGAGGGAGACGACGAGCTGGAGCCAGCGCCAGTGAGGGAGGCCGAAGGCCACGGCCGCCAGGACGAACTGCCCCAAGGTGTAGCAGTAGCCGTTGACGGTGCCCACCACGGCGCGCGCTTCCGTCGGGATCCACTCCATGCCTGCGGGCAACCGGCGGCGCACGGGATGGTGGGGTCCATCCCGTGGGATAGGGACAAAGCGGGGATAGCTGGGTCCCTCCTGGGGGCCAATGGCGGTGGGGTCGGAGCCCAGGTCCCTCCCGGGGGCCAATGGCGGTAGGGTTGGATCCCGACTCCCTCCCGAGGGCCAATGGCAGTAGGGTTGGAGCCCGGCTCCCTCCCAAGGGCCAATGGTGGTAGGGTTGGATCCCGGCTCCCTCCCGGGGGCCAATGGCGGGAGGGGTGGGTCCCAGGGCCCTCCCGAGGGCCAATGGCGGGGGGGGTGGGTCCCAGGGCCCTCCCGAGGGCCAATGGCGGGGGGGGTGGGTCCCAGGGCCCTCCCGAGGGCCAATGGCGGGGGGGGTGGGTCCCAGGGCCCTCCCGAGGGCCAATGGCGGGGGGGGTGGGTCCCAGGGCCCTCCCGAGGGCCAATGGCGGGGGGGGTGGGTCCCAGGGCCCTCCCGAGGGCCAATGGCGGGGGGGGTGGGTCCCAGGGCCCTCCCGAGGGCCAATGGCGGGGGGGGTGGGTCCCAGGGCCCTCCCGAGGGCCAATGGCGGGGGGGGTGGGTCCCAGGGCCCTCCCGAGGGCCAATGGCGGGGGGGGTGGGTCCCAGGGCCCTCCCGAGGGCCAATGGCGGGGGGGGTGGGTCCCAGGGCCCTCCCGAGGGCCAATGGCGGGGGGGGTGGGTCCCAGGGCCCTCCCGAGGGCCAATGGCGGGGGGGGTGGGTCCCAGGGCCCTCCCGAGGGCCAATGGCGGGGGGGGTGGGTCCCAGGGCCCTCCCGAGGGCCAATGGCGGGGGGGGTGGGTCCCAGGGCCCTCCCGAGGGCCAATGGCGGGGGGGGTGGGTCCCAGGGCCCTCCCGAGGGCCAATGGCGGGGGGGGTGGATCCCGGGTCCCTCCCGAGGGCCAATGGCGGTGGGGTTGGAGCCCGGCTCCCTCCCATGGGACAGGGGCGGCAGGACCAATCCCAGACCCCGGGGTCCCCAGCTCACAGAGGGAGGCGGAGTTGAGGGAGACCCCGGCCATGGCCAGGCCCGTCAGGAACCGGCAGAGGCAGTAGACGACGAAGGTGGGGGCGGCCGCGGTGCCGGCCCCCGTCGCCCCCAGCTGCAGGTAGCACCAGGTCAGCAGCGCCCGGCGCCCGTACCTGCTGGGACACAGCGCTGGGGGCACTGGGATGGGGGACTGGGGGCACTGGGATGCTGATACGGGGCACTGGGACAAGGGCGCAAGGTACTGGGGGTGCTGGGATGGGGGATATGGGGTGCTGGAGGTGCTGGGATAGGGGACGTGGGGTGCTGGGGGCACTGGGATGGGGGTTGTGGGGTGCTGGGGTGACTGGGATGGGGGCACAAGGCATTCGGAACACTGGGATGGGGAATGTGGGCACTGGGAATACTGGGATGAGTGACTTGGGGACAGTGGGACAAGCCGTAGTGGGACAGACCCACCCCAGGGGCACCGGGGACACTGGGACACCAGGAGCCAGAGGGAGGGGAGGACATCCCTGTGCGTACCCCTCCCCTCTCCCTTCTCCCAGTTCCTCCCAGTTCATCCCAGTACAGCTCCAGGGTGGCTACGCACTTGTCGGAGAGGACCCCGAAGAGGCCGGAGCCCAGGAGGATCCCGGCCATGTAGATGGATTGGGCCACCTGCCTCAACCTCTTGGACTCGCACACCAGGTCCCACTGCCGGCGGGAGAGGACACGGGGGGTCACCACCCGGCCACCGCGGTCCCCCCGTCACCCGGGGGCGGGGCCGCAGGGCACCCCTCACCTCGGTAACGATGGTGTGAGCGAAGACGCCGTCGTGGTAGGTCCAGCCATCACGGCAAGGCTCGGTGGCCGCCCCGTTGGCCGTGCCGTTGACCGTGCCGTTGACCTCCAAGAGGTGCCACTGGGGTTCCACGTAGCGGCGGCAGCGCTGGGGACGGTGGTGGCCGTCAGAGGGGATGGAGACGAGGAGTGGGACATCCCCGGCGCTGTCATTGGCCGTGGGCTGAGGCCGGCAGTGGTGCTCGGGGACGCCGGCGGTGAAGTTCTGCAGAAGGTTGTGGCTGGCCAGCATGAGCAGCGGAATGGCCAGGGCGGCCACGTAGGTCACCTGGAAGCGGCCCATCCCGCCCAGGCGGGCCAGAAGCTCCACGAAGGTCATGGTGGGACGAGGGATGGAGCTGGGGGGGGGGGCCCGGGTCAGCCCGGGGGGGGGGGGGGGGGAAAGGGGCTGGAGGGTGGGAGGAGGAGAAAAGGTTGAAGGATGGGCCAAGGGATGGGCTAGGATTGGCCAAGGGGTGGTTTGGGTGGTCAGTGAAGATATAGATCCAAGGGTTGGCCAAGGGGTGGATTGGAGGAAGGGCTGGAGCCAAGGATTGGCCAAGGGGTGGATTGGAGGAAGGGCTGGATCCAAGGGTTGGCCAAGGGTTGGCCAAGGGTTGGATTGGAGGAAGGGCTGGACCCACGGACGGGCCAAGGGTTGGATGAGGAGCAGCCAAGGGGTGGTTTGGAGGACGGGTAAGATCAGGACGAGATCAGGATTGGCTGAGGGATGGGACTGGCGTGGCCAAGGCGTGGCCAAGGCGTGGCCAAGGCGTGGCAGGGCCAAGCCGAGGGGAGGTGGAGGAAGAGCTGAGGGGGAGGGAGGGAGGGACCAACGGACGGAGCAAGGGAGGGACAGAGGGACGGACCGAGGGAGCGGGGGGGACCGAGGAAGCTGAGGGCGGAATCAAGGACCCTCTATTGATCATCTGCTGATCGGCCTATCAATCTATCGATCAGTCTATCGGCCTATCGAGAGGTCTATTGATCTATCGATCGATCGATCCATCCATCGATCCATCAGTCTCTCTGGAGGTCTATCAGTTGATCTATCAACGTACCAATCGATCGGTCTTTCTGTTGGTTGCTCTGTTGATCTCTCAGTGCCTCTACCCGTCGATCGATCGATCGATCGATCGGTCTATCGATCTGCCAGTCGCTCTATCAATCTATCGGTGTCACTGTCAATCTATCGGTCTCTATTGATCTATTGGGGTGTCTATGGATCTATCAGTCTAGCAATCTGCCCGCCTCTCTGTCTATCGATCTACCGATCTATCGATCTAATTGATCAATCTACCTACCAGTCTATCAGTCGATCAGTGTCACTACCAATCTATTGATCTCTATTGATCTAGCGGGGCATCTATTGATCTGTCAGTCTCTCTACCAGTCTGCCAGCCTCTCTGTCTCTCAAATCTATCAATCGATCTATCGATCTAATTGATCAATCTCCCTATCATTCGATCAATCTCACTATTGACCTATCAGTCGCTGATTCTTTCTTTCTTGCTCTCAGCTCTGCCCCTCGCTGCTCTCCCTCCCCCTCCTCCCTCCCCCCACATTATTGGTTGATCAGCCGATCGATCGATCGATCGATCGATCCTCTCTCCCTCCTGTCCTGCCACTCTCAATAGGTTCACCCCTCCAATGAGCCCTTGCGATCAATCGATCCCTACCTGCTGGTTTGCTCCTCTCCCTCTCGCTGCGGCTCTCTCGATCTCCAGCTCGGTCTCTCCGGCCACCCGCTGTCCCTCCGTCCGTCCTTCCGTCCCGCCGTCCCTCCCTCCCTCTGCCACGCCCACTCTCTCTTTCTCCAGCCCTCCTCCACCCCTCGGTCGGTCGGTCGGTCGATCGATCGATCGATTGATCGATGGATGGATTTCTCTGTTGTCCATGCCACCCATCATCCAGCTGCTGGATCTGCCCCCCGTCCCTCTGCCCACCTATTGGCTCCTCACCCCGTCAATCAATGGATTTGTCTGCTAATCAGGCCTAGTGATCAATCTATTGATCTCCCCCTCTCGATTGATTGATCTATTGGTCTCCCTGTCGATCAATCCAGCGAGCTTTCTCTGTTGATAAATTATTGATCTTTAGATCCCTGTTATCTAGGTGTTGATCATCAATTAGTCCATAATCTCTTTATTTATTAATTGATCAATCTCTGTGTTTCTGTTGATCAATCTATTGATCAGTCTCTTGTTCTACAGCACCTCTATCGATCCATCTGATGGTCTGGGCATCTCTATTACCGATAAATTGATCTCTGATCTATTCATTGATCAATCTCTTGGTCTGTATTTTTCTACTGATGAATCTATTGGACCGTGTCCCACCGATCGGTCCGTCTCTCTATTGATCAATCTGCTGGTCTATCGATCAATTGATTGATTTATAGTCCTTCTATTCGTCAATGTATCAATCTTAATCTTTCTATTGATTGATTTATTGACCTTGAATCTCTCTATCGATTGATCTGCTGGTCTCTCTCGATTGATCAACCTATTGACCTATAATCTATTGATCAATGTAGTGATCTTAATCTATCTACTGACTGGTCTATCGGTCTCTATTGATCAATCTATTGAGCTTTAATCTCACTATTGATCAATCTATTGACTATAGTCCCTCTGTTGATCAATCTAATCATCTTAATCTATCTATTGACTGGTCTATCGGTCTCTATTGATCAATCTATTGATCTTAAATCTCACTATTGATCAATCTCTTGCCCTATAATCTTTCCATTGATCAGTCTTTCTCCCTATTGATTAATCGGTCGATCTTTAATCTCAATCTATTGACCTTTAATCTCAATCTATTGACCTTTAATCTCAATCTATTGACATATAATCTTTCTATTGATCAATGTATCGATCTTAATCGCTCTATTGATCCATCTCTTGACCTATAATCTTTCTATTGATCAGCCTTTCTCTCTATTGATCAATCTATCGAGCTTTAATCTCTCTCTTGACCAGCCCATTGGCCTCTCTCTCTCCTGATCAACACCTTGATCTCTCTATTGATCCACTCACCTGTCCGTCGCCCCAGCTATCGCCCGAGCTCTCCCAGCACCAAATCCCGCTCCCTGGAGCCGTCTGCCGGCACCTACCACCCCTTGGCCCCGCGGCTGCCCATGGCCACAGCCCTGTCCCCGTCCCTGTCCTATTTAAAGCCATCCCCGGACCCAGTTAACGTTTGACTCTGGTGGGACCAGATCCCGCTATGGGTCGGTGGAGACCATCATCGGGCGGAAACGTTGGTGCTGACCACGCCGCTCCCCAACCGGGGATGCCCGACAGCTCCCTGGGACCATCCCATCTTCTCCATCCTCTTCCTCGCCGAGGAAGCTCCCGACCCCAAGTGGATGGGGACGCCCCCAGCCCCCTCCCAGCTTGTTTTCACCATCCGTGGTGGATGATTCATGGGGCAGAGTCCCTGGGGGCCCTGAACCGGATCGCTGGGAGCCCCTTGGACCCCGGGCAGGAGGGCAGCGGGAGGCAGCAGAGCATGGGCAGGAACCGGCAGCGACCAGGGGACATCGGGGGTGGCCTGGGGGGGGGCAGGACGCCTGTGTCCTCGCTGGCTGGGTGGTCGGAGAGGAGGGTGCGGTGGGTGCTGCGTGGTCGGACGCTTAGGTCCTTGGGATCCCTGGGTCCTTGGGACGTCTGGGCACCCAGATGCCTGGATTCCTGGGATCCCTGGGTCCTTGGGATGTCTCAGTCCTTGGGATCCCTGGGTCCTTGGGGTCCCTGGGTCCTTGGGACGTCTGGGCACCTGGATCTCTGGGTCCTTGGGATGTCTAGGCATCCAGATGCCTGGGTCCTTGGGATCCCTGGGTCCTTGGGATCCCTGGGTCCTCAGGATCCCTGGACACCTGGGTCCTTGGGATCCCGGGGTCCTTGGGCTGTCCAGGCACCCGGACACGTGGGTCCTTGGGGCACCCGGCCCCTCAGGATCCCTGGATCTTTGGGATCCCTGGATCCTTGGGACGCCTGGGTCCTCCCTGCGCCCTCGAGCGCGACTCTCCCTCCCTCGCAGCTCCGGCGCAGGCAGAGGGGAGGAGGGGACGCGATGCCGAGGTCGCGGCACCCCGCTGGCTCCCGTATTTGCCTTCGGGGCGGGACGGCCGGGCCGCGCAGGACCCCCGCGGCCGTGGGAAAACACCCCCCACCCCTCCGCCCTCCCACCGCCTGCGTTTCACACGATTTTTCCTTTTATTGTGGTTTTTTGTTGTTTTTTTTGTTGTGTTTTTTTTTTTTTAATTCCAACACAGAAAAACCATCCTGCGAAGCGGCGTTTGGTGGGGGAGGACGACACCATCCCCCAACTCTGCACGGCGAGGACGCCTGGGTCCCCTCCTCGGCCACGCAAGAGGGTGACCGTGGTCATGGCTGTCCCGTTCCTCTTCTGGGGGGTGATGCACCCCCTCCAGCCCCACTCCTGCTCCTTCAGCCGCTGGGTACATCGAGGTCTGGGGGGGTTGGGGGGTCCCCCAGGGTGTTGGGCGCTAGGAGGCCCCCACGGTGCCGCTGGGCTGAAGCGGGACCTGGAGATGTTGGGCTTGGTCCTTCTGGGGCTGGGTCCTGGTGGGAGAGGGAGGATGGGAGGGGGCGGTTTCGGCAGGCCAGGTGGGTTCTCGTGCTGCTGTTCCTCCTCCTCCCCCATCTCCATCCATCACCCATCCATCCGTCGTCATAGCCATCCGTCTGTCCGTCCTTCCATCCATCCGTTGCCGTGCTCTTCTTCCATCCATCTGTCCGTCCACCTCTCTGTCCGATCCCATCCCCTCCTGTCCATCCATCCGTCCGTCCATCCCCACACACAGCCCATCCTCCATCCCATCCATCCACCCAACCATCCATCCACCCATCTGTCTGTCTGTCTGTCCATCCCTCCCCACATACAACCCATCCTCCATCCTATCCATCCACCCAACCGCCCGTCCATCCATCCATCCGTCTGTCTGTCCATCCATCCCCACGCACAACCCATCCTCCATCCCATCCATCCACCCTACCGTCCATCCATCCGTCCGTCCGTCTGTCTGTCCATCCATCCCCACGCACAAATCTGTCTGTCTGTCTGTCCATCCCTCCCCACATACAACCCATCCTCCATCCTATCCATCCACCCAACCGCCCGTCCATCCATCCATCCGTCTGTCTGTCCATCCATCCCCACGCACAACCCATCCTCCATCCCATCCATCCACCCTACCGTCCATCCATCCGTCCGTCCGTCTGTCTGTCCATCCATCCCCACGCACAACCCATCCTCCCTGTCCCTCCCCACCGTCCATCTGTCCCTCCCCTTGTCCTTCACTCCTTCCAACCCCACCTGCCCTCCACCTCCTCCACGGTCTCAGGCAGGGCCGTGTCCCGTGTCTCTGGCAGGAAGATGGCCACCAGCCCCGACACCACGGGGGCCGCCCCGTAGATGACGAAGGGCAACGCGGGGAAGACGTCACCTGCCATCTTCACCAAGGGGGCCGTGATGCTGCCCAGGCGGGCCATGGTGTTGGCCAACCCCATGCCCGTCTGCCTGTGGGACACCGAGGAGCCCTGAGGAACCAGACTGCGTGGTCACGGCCACCCCATCGCCTCCCCCAACCTGCGTCCCCGCTCCTTACCGAATAACGGTGGGGTAGAGCTCACCCGTGTAGAGGAAGACGCAGTTGAAGGACGCGGCCAAGCAACCCTTCCCGAAGACGGCCAGGGCGGTCCGGAGCGTCCGCAGGTCTGTGGGGATGAGGACAGGACATCTGGGACTCGCTTTGGTGTCACTACTTGGGGTTGGGTTGGGTTGGTGGTGGGTGATGGAGAGAGGAGAGCCCCAAACACCAGGATTTCGGGCAAATCGCCCGTAAAAAGCTCAGATCACCCAGCCTGGGTTGTGTTGAGGTTGCTTTGGCCCACCCAGATGGTGCCTTATGGGCTGGAGATGAAGGGGCCACCATGGCCACCACCCCCGGCCCTCACCTCGTGGCACCAAGATGTTGGCCAAGATGGCCAAGCCAGCCAGGATGAGGGCAACGGACTGGGTGAAGCGTCGCCCCACGAAGGTGATGGTGAGGATGGAGACCAGCTTGGCCGGGATGTCCACGGCCCCAAAGATGAGCTGGATCACGTAGATGTTGACGTCAAAGTTTTGCAGGTCCATGGCCAGCCCGTAGTAGGCAAAGCTGGTGGAGAACCTAGGCCAAAAAGAGGTGAGGAGGGGGACAAATGTCACCGGTGGGGAGGTGGGGAGGGGGATGTGGGGGTCACACACCGTCCCCTGGCCTGTGGGGTCCAGCCAGGAGATCCGTGTCCCTTCCTGGAGCACGTGTGAGTCAAGAGACCTCTGTTGACCGAGTCCTGCATCGTGACTCAGTTTCCCTTTCCGATAAGGACCCAGCTAAGGTGGGTGTTTGGGGAGGGGTGGGTAGTGGGATGGATGGATGGATCAACAGTCGGGTGACTCCTCGATGAAGCCATCTCCTTCGCCATGTGGGACCTCAAGGCCTAGGGGGAGAGAGGGGGCTCTGGGGTGGGGATGGGGCGCTGGGGGTGTAGGGGAGCCCCACTATTGGCCCCCCTCCATGAGGGCGGGGTCACTCCCCCACCCCATAAAACACCCCCGAGATGCCCCAGAGCTTTTTACTTCGATGTCGAGCTTCTCCCCTTCCTCCTTCTTCCCGTTTATCCTGGCCACCTTCTGGAGCTCCTTCAGGGCTTGCTGGGACTTCCCCACCATGACCAGCCAGCGAGCTGACTCCGTTAACCACCTGTGGAGGAGGTGGGGTCAGGATGCCAAGGATCATCCCACCGTCCGGCCGATCCCTCTGTCCTCCAGCCAGGTCTCCATGCTTCCAGCCATCCACCCAACCCTTCATCCACCCATCCATCCATCCATCCATCCATCCATCCATCCAACCCTTCATCCATCCAACCAACCCTTCATCCACCCATCCATCCATCCATCCATCCATCCATCCATCCATCCAACCCTTCATCCATCCAACCAACCCTTCATCCACCCATCCATCCATCCATCCATCCATCCATCCATCCA